ATGGGAACCTCAAAAATTCCAGGGGAACCCCAAAGAATTCCATGGGAACCCAAAAAACCCCACAGGAACCCTTGAAGAACCCATGGAGAACATCTCGAGAACTTCCTGCAGCACCTCCAGCTGCTTCTCTGCAGGCAAAAAAATCCAAAAATTCCATGAGAACCCAAAAAAATCCACAAAAACCCTTGAAGAACCCATGGAGAACTCATGAGAACATCTCGAGAACTTCCTGCAGCACCTCCAGCTGCTTCTCTGCGGGCCAAAATCCCCAAAATTCCATCAGAACCCCCAAAATTCCATGGGAACCTCAAAAAATTCTATGGGAACCTCCAGGACCTTCCACATGGTGACCCTCAAACATCTCCTGGAGCTTTTGGGACCTCCCGGGCCCTTCAGGACCCCTCAAATTCCTCTGAAACCTTCTGAGATCTCCAAGAACTTCCACAAGGTGACCCTCAAACATCTCCTGGAGCTTTTGGGACCTCCCAGGACCACGAAGAACCGCGGAGGAACGGCGGAGGAGGTCCCACCTTCCACGATGACCTCGGCCTCGGCCTCGCCGCCGTTGGTCATGATGCGGTAGCGGCCGGTGTCCTCCTTGGTGGCCTCGTTGAGGATCAGGAAGTGCTTCTTGCCGTCCTTCTTGAAGCGGTACTTGAAGGTCTCCTCGCGGGTCAGCTCCACCCCGTCCTTCGTCCTGAGGGGGACACGGGGTGGGCACGGGGTGGGCGTGGAGATGGACAGGGAGATGGACACCAGGTGGACATGGAGACGGACATGGAGATGGAGATGGAGATGGGGTCAGCATGGAGATGGAGATGGACATGGAGATGGGGTGGGCATGGAGATGGAGATGGAGATGGGGTGGGCATGGAGAGGGACATGGAGATGGACATGAGGTGGACATGGAGATGGAGATGGAGATGGGGTGAGCATGGAGATGGACATGGAGATGGAGATGGGGTGAGCATGGAGATGGACATGGAGGTGGACACCAGGTGGACATGGAGACGGACATGGAGATGGACATGGAGATGGGGTGAGCATGGAGATGGACATGGAGATGGACACCAGGTGGACATGGAGACGGACATGGAGATGGACATGGAGATGGGGTGGGCATGGAGATGGAGATGGAGATGGGGTGGGCATGGAGATGGACATGGAGATGGAGATGGGGTGAGCATGGAGATGGACAGGGAGATGGACACCAGGTGGACATGGAGATGGAGATGGAGATGGAGATGGACATGGACATGGAGATGGAGATGGGGTGAGCATGGAGATGGACATGGACATGGAGATGGGGTGGGCATGGAGATGGACATGGAGATGGGGTGGGCATGGAGATGGACATGGACATGGAGATGGGGTGAGCATGGAGATGGACATGGACATGGACATGGAGACGGACATGGAGATGGAGATGGAGATGGGGTGGGCATGGAGATGGACATGGACATGGAGACGGACATGGAGATGGAGATGGAGATGGGGTGGGCATGGAGATGGACATGGAGATGGACACCAGGTGGACATGGAGACGGACATGGAGATGGACATGAGGTGGACATGGAGATGGAGATGGAGATGGGGTGGGCATGGAGAGGGACATGGAGATGGAGATGGGGTGAGCATGGAGATGGACATGGAGATGGAGATGGAGACGGACATGGAGATGGAGATGGAGATGGGGTGGACATGGAGATGGACATGGAGGTGGACACCAGGTGGACATGGAGACGGACATGGAGATGGACTTGGAGATGGACATGGAGATGGATATGGAGATGGATATGGAGTGGACATGGAGATGGACATGAGGTGGACACCCCGTGGGCATGGGGTGGACACAAAGATGGAGATGGAGATGGAGATGGAGATGGAGATGGAGATGGAGATGGGATGGACATGGAGATGGAGATGGAGATGGACATGGACATGGGGTGGACATGGAAATGGAGATGGAGATGGACATGGAGATGGGGATGGAGATGGAGATGGAGATGGAGATGGAGATGGAGATGGGGATGGAGATGGAGATGGACATGGAGATGGACATGGAGATGGGGATGGAGATGGAGATGGACATGGAGATGGGGATGGAGATGGAGATGGACATGGAGATGGGGATGGAGATGGAGATGGACATGGAGATGGACATGGAGATGGAGATGGACATGGAGATGGACATGGAGATGGGGATGGAGATGGAGATGGACATGGAGATGGACATGGAGATGGACATGGACATGGGGATGGAGATGGACATGGAGATGGAGATGGACATGGAGATGGGGATGGAGATGGACATGGAGATGGGGATGGACATGGGGATGGAGATGGAGATGGCGATGGAGATGGAGATGGAGATGGACATGGAGATGGAGATGGAGATGGAGATGGAGATGGAGATGGGGATGGAGATGGAGATGGAGATGGAGATGGAGATGGGGATGGAGATGGAGATGGGGATGGACATGGACATGGAGATGGAGATGGGGATGGAGATGGAGATGGAGATGGAGATGGGGATGGAGATGGAGATGGAGATGGAGATGGAGATGGAGATGGACATGGGGATGGAGATGGCGATGGAGATGGACATGGAGATGGGGATGGAGATGGAGATGGAGATGGACATGGAGATGGACATGGACATGGAGATGGACACGGGGTGGACATGGAGATAGACATGGACGTGGACACGAGATGGACATGGACATGGACACGGACACACGGAGGTCCGTCTCCGGCCGTACCACATGACCTGCGCGCCCTCCTCGGACACTTCGGCCTCCAGCACCACCCGCTCGCCCACCAGAACCTGCTGGTCCTCAGGACCATGAACGATGGTCACCGGTGGCTCTGAGAGGGACAGGTGAGGGACAGGTGAGGTGACACAGGGGACACCAGAACCTGCTGGTCCTCAGGACCATGAACGATGGTCACCGGTGGCTCTGAGGGGGACAGGGGACATGGGACAGCTGAGGGACAGCCGAGGGTGACCCCCAAACATCTCACAGAGCCCCCAAAACCCCCCCAGATGCCCCAGGTGTCCCCAGGTGTGCCCAGGTACCCCAAAGTACCCCCAGATGCCCTCAAACCTCCCCAGATGCCCTCAAACCCCTCCAGGTGTTCCCAGGTACCCCCAGGTGCCCCAAAGTACCCCCAGATGCCCTCAAAGCCCCCCAGATGTCCTCAAACGCCCCCAGGTACCACCAGATGTCCTCAAACCCCCCCAGGTGTCCCAGGTGTCCCAGGTGTCCCAGGTGTCCAGGTGTCCCAGGTGTCCCAGGTCCCCAGGTCCCCAGGTGTCCCAGGTGCCCAGGTGTGTCCCAGGTGTCCCAGGTGCCCAGGTGTCCCAGGTCCCCAGATGGCCTCAAACCCCCCCAGGTGCCCAGGTGTCCCAGGTGCCCAGGTGTCCCAGGTGCCCAGGTGTCCCAGGTGTCCCAGGTCCCCAGGTGTCCCAGGTGCCCAGGTGTGTCCCAGGTGTCCCAGGTGTCCCAGGT